CGGAGAGAGGCAGCTTCAGAGGTTCGCCCGCGAAGCGAACCCCCAGGCTGTAGCTTTGTGACTCCACCTCGAGAGCTTCTCTTTGCTGCAGGGCTTGGAAGCGGGTTCTTTTCGGGTGTATTTGAGAGCCATTCCGATCCGTAGGAAGAAGGGATGCGTCCCCTGCTCGGCTAAACGAGGCTCTTTTTCACTTCGATGTTAAAAGATGCTTCTGTGTCTTTTTCTCCTATCCAGAAAGCGCACCTGCAATGTTCCTCTGGCTCCCCAAATGGTTCATAGTCACCAAATATGTCCGTCCTTCCCCCTCCCGTCCTCTTTTTTTTTTTTTTTTATCCTAAGGCTGCTTTCCTAAGCGAACCTTTCTGGAAGTAACGCACGAGGATCTCCATTTTGCATCTAGGTCAACCTTCCTTTGTTTTAAACTTTCTTCAGGTAAACGCGGTTTCGATCAAGGTGGGCAAAGTAGACGGAGGTTGGCGGTGAAAGAGCCGCTTGGGCAGAAAGATTTCAATCTCAGTTGAAAAATAATTGCGACGATAAGCAGTAAACCGTTTTTCAAAGCGCGCAATCCTAAATGAGGATAGGATTGCAAGCAAAGTTCAACTTATTTCAAACGCTGTTTTCTTGCAGTTTATACTAAAACACCAAGGTTAACAACCTCATTTTGCAGTCCTAAAGTTAAAGACGGAAGAAAAGAGGCTTCTTCGATTCAAGTGAGATTTACCTCAGTTTTCTGGTAATTTAAAGATTAGAAATACCAGAAAGTGCAGCTTTTCGGTTTCTGGAGAGACAGAAAAGTCTTGAGACGCCTTGGAGGTGTTTGGACGTTTCCTGTTTGTCTTAGTCTATTTGAATAACAGAAAGCAGCTAGAGAAGAACCCTGGGAGAGAGGATATGAAAGAAAGAAGGAAGGAAGGAGGGAGGGAGGAAGGAAGGAAGGAAAGAGGGAAGAAGTTTCTGCCTGAAAGACTATCTTCTGCTGGAGCTAGGAAGCTGGAAGTAGCTTCGCAGTTACTCCCTTGCCGAAGGCTCAAGACAGGTTTTGGGGAGAAGGGGACTTAAAGCGCTGCAGTTTTGTTCAAATGGGAGGAGCGGGGAAAGTGAAGGATCGGGCCTCACGTAGCCTGCGATTTTTGCGGCCTTTCGTGCAGTTGTCTCATGAATCTCTTTTAAATCTCCTTCCACCTCAGAGGTGCACAGCTTGATCCAATATGCGTGGTTGCATCAACCCTCTCGCGGACTACTGGTAGAATTCCACAACTGGCTCGGCTTTTTAACCGCTCCAGCCTTTCCTTTCTAGAAACACTCTAATGCTTTGGTTTCGGGAATGTGAACGCGGTGTATCCAGCCGCCGATTGGTAAAATCTTTAATCCAAAAAATGTTCACGTTGTGGTGTCTCCAGAGAATTGCATTTCGTGGCGGCCCAGCGAAAAATCCCAACTTGGTATTTTTTAGCTTTCAGGACCACGAAGTAGCCGATTCCCGACAGCTCCGCTCTCGGAGAATCGCCTGTTTCTCCCGCTGGTGGAACATTCCGTAGAGCTACAAGTGAAAACAACCGAGAGGCTGCAACTCCGAAAACTGCCCTAAAGTCACGGACAGAGGCAGGTTCCGCTTAGCGACTGCTGCACTCCCTATACGGCGATCATAGCTTCCCAAACTTGCCGTCTTCGACCTTGTATACAGTGACGCCATCCTACCAATGCTGGATCAGCTGCTGGGGCCCGAGCTAGTCGCGTCTTTTTACAGGTTGCGGGTCCTGAGTCTTTTTCTGCTTTTCCTAAATGTTTGGCTTTTGCGGTGCTTCCTCAATTAGAGTCCGTGTCGACAGGCTGCTCAGTTTACGTGTGTGTGAGTGAGTGAGAGAGAGAGAGAGACAGACAGACAGACAGAGATGTACGTACTACCTTTGTATTCCGTTCGTTTAAAAACAAATTAAAACCGCACAAACAAGCGTTGCTTCCAGATTCCTAAAAGGGCACCTACCTACTAAGATAGAGACAAAAAGGGTTTCATTCCAAAGCAGCAGAAACCCCCTTTTAAATATTTTTTTCCGTAGCGAGCTAGTTTCTCCGTAAATCTTTTTCAATTAGGCTTTGGTCTCTCGACTGTAACAGATTTTTCAGCCAGATCCCAGACGCGTTTGCTGAAAAGGAAATCGCCCTGTTGTTTGCGGCACTTGAGCTGCCCTTCGGATTGCTCCCCGAAGCCAAGTCGGCAGGAAATACTTCTCTCCAAAGTTGCTCTCTTGCGGATGGGATAATCTCCCTCCGAAAAGGCGCTAAGGCCCTGGGCTTCGGGAGCAGATCTCCAGGCCCTTTATCCGTTTCTCCATCAAACCATTTACAAGAGCAAAAAATATTGACAAGCAGGCCTCGCCGGGTGTTAATGGAGACGGATAAGTGCCGCCGTATTGCAGGATCTCCATCAGGATTTCAGCGATTTCCCGAGCCACCCCGATATGGGAGCACTTCTATTCCTGATCGCAAACAGAAAGCAACAGTGTAAAAATCTGCAATGGGTGTCTGGGACGTTTGCCTCCTAAAGCCTAGGGAGTTTGCATGACACGTGGCCAGGCCCTCTTTAGTTTTTCCTCTCGCACCTTCCATGCCTCTTGGCTCCTTTGTTTATTTTTAACCTTCTTAGATTAGCAGAAGAGTTTTCTGATGCCAATTGCTCAGTGAAATTACCGACATTATTGCCAAAGTGGAAGTGCTGCCAAATGCCACCTTTATATTTCACAGTCCCAAGAAGGTGCTATAACCGGCACCGGCCCGGCAGAAGATTCGCTGTAAACGTCAATGATGAGCAGTTGCATCCATTTCCTATCGAATGGAAGTCACTTACCCCGTCGGGGACGGGAAACAGTCCCTTCCTCGTCCTTTTCCCTACTGAGCGCCCCTCCCATCTAATTATAAAAACCATTATCTATACCTTTTTGTTTAAAATCTCAGCACCATTTCAAGGGGAAATCAAATCTATTAAACTTTGTGGATCCGTTTTAAGTAACGGCTACCTCAAAGTAAAATAAAGGAAGTCGCAGATACCAAGACCCTCCTTCAAGTCAACCTCGGACAAATTGGGTAGCCTCTTTGGGGACCTAGGAGACTCAAATAAATTGACAATGCAATTCTGAGGTATAACCCTGCTTCAACGTTTATTTGCAGAAAACTGGTACAGGATTTTTATTTTTGCTTGGGATTCTGTAGCTTGCCCCCACTTCAGAGAAGGAAGGAAGAAAAAAGGAGGGAGGGGGAAGGAAGGAAATAAAAAGAAAGGAAAGAAAGGAAAAAATGAAAGAAAGAGAGAGAGAGAGAAAGAAAGAAAGTCAGTCAATCTTGGCAGAGGAAAAAGGGGCCAGCTGGTCGAGTTAGGAGCGGGGAGTTAGGAAACAGAGCCTGGGAAGAATTTTCGCTACCCAGCACTCACCGGACCAGGCTGTAAAGCCTCCCATTCCTTCCCTTCCCTCTGTGCCTGAATTCTGCAACTGCAACAATTCCCAGGAGAGAACAGCGAGCCAACAAGAGGGAAATTAAGAAACTTCGCACGAATTTCATCCGTCGGTAGTGACGTCACTGAACAGCCACACTAAATCATAAGTTAACTTTAGAATGACTAAGGTGACTTTCAGAACTGTCCACGTACTTGGGGTACTTTCCTCCCATCTCTCTTAGACTCTCCCTTCCTCAGCCATCTGTGGGAAAGGGAAGGGGAGGGAAGGGAATGAAAATTTGAAGCTTTTTATTCATATTGCCTACACAACAGGATAAATTCTGACCATCACAGCTAATTGTGGAACACAAGACTATAGCAGCTATGATGACTTATTTTCTACAGATAGATTTTATAAATAATATTATTATTAGGAATCATAAGAATATAGTATTCCTGTTGCATAATTGATCAGACAACTAGACTAGAAAACTCATGCCCTTTGCCAACCCCTTTTAGTCTTATTCACACAACCGCAGGCACACGGCTTCTGAACCAGGAGATTCATTTGATCGGGGTGGAAAGCCACCTCTGCAATGACCTTCTGATCTTTAAAAAAAAACCCATCCAGCGAGGCAATCCACAACATTTAACAACCGTAAGCATCTATTGACTGTGCTGCCAGCTACCGTCACCGTCCTTGTGATGACGATTATGATGTGCCATTAGTCTCTTTCTGGCATTGCTTTAAATGACGAGATAGACGAGCCCCCGGGCGCGGCCCAGGTGACAAAGAGCAGGTGGCCGCTGTCCTCCTTCCTCGGGGAAACTTCCTTTCCTCTTCCCGGAATAAGCCAGAATGTCTCTCGAATGGCCCGTGTTGTCCATCCTCCGCCCGCTTCTGCAGCAGTCCGATCACCCTCCAAGACAGCTCCCGCTTACCCAGCAGGGTACGGGAACAGGGTTCCTGGCGCCCTTGCCCGTCCTTTCCTTCCGCGTGTCCCTCCGGGTCTCCTGGGGAAAGCCAAGCCAAGCGATCCCAAGCCAATTCCCGAGGGACGAGCGGGAGATCTCCGGACTCGACCCTCGGGGCGGGCAGGGAAGTGGCGGCAGGGCCAGATCGCGCCAACAGGACTTCTTTGTTTCAGCCGACTCTGCCCGCTCCCCATGAACCGTGCCCGGGCGGTGGTGTTGGTGGTGCCAAGCTTCCCGCGGTCTCGGGCTCAAGGCGCCCGCCAGGTCACCTCTGACCCGAAGCCTTGGCGGCCGGGCTCTTCCAGGCTGCCAGTTCATCTTTGGGCAAGTTTCCTCGGGGGGCCGGCTCCCGCGCCCGCTCCCCGCCTTCCAATGGGGGCCCGGCCCGGCCCCTCCTCGCCGTGACGTGCCCCGCTCGGCCGAAGAGGCGGCTCCGAGTCCAGAGCGGGCTGCTGGTCCTCGCCGAGGCGGGGACTGGCAGAGGCGGCGCCGCGTTCGCATGGACGCCACTTCGCCTGGCTTTGCTCCCGGGCGCGGCCCTTCTGCCCCAGCCGGGCTGGCCGTCTCCTTCCCTCCCGCCTCCCTGCCCAGGATGCTCCCCAGCCCTGCCACTGCCACTTCCACCCCCTTCTCCGTCAAAGACATCCTGAAACTGGAGCAGCAGCAGCAACAGCAGCAGCAGCAACGTCTCGGGGGGCCCCTCGAACCGCCTTTCGCCCCCGTTGCCGCCGTTGCCTCCTGCCTGCTGAGCTGCCGCTTCTCAGAGGGAGAGGAGGACGAAGAGAGCGAGGAGCAGCAGCCCTTCTTGACCCACATGGCCTCGACAAAGAGTCAAGCGGATGGGGGCTTCTCCCCGGGCAGCTATGTGCAGGCGGTGCTGCGGGGCACCTGCGAGCCCAAAGGCCTGGCAGAGGAGGCAGAGCCGGCACGGGACTCGGGAACCGGTGAGTACAGGAGCGCTGGGGGGCGACCCTGAGAGGCTTTGGGGCCAGTAGCAGAATCCGCCTAAACCCCGCGCATGGCTCAGGCCATGTCCCTTCAGGAGACCTTCTCCAGAGTGGCCCGGAGCCGGTATCACCCGTGTTGCCCTGCCCTCCTCTGGAGTGTCTGAAATATCCCTTTGTCACCCGGAGCAGACCGGGATGCTGAGCGCAGGACGTATCTTCCCACTAAGCTTTTTCCGAAGTGTTTCTTCCCGCTCTGCAGGTTTGCTTCAGCCTGCTCTAAACCCCCTTTTATGGGTCCTTCGGGTGGTCTCGGCTTTAGCACCCCCGTCTTGTTGGGGTGGTGGGGACGTGGTTGAGATGATGGGGACGTGATGGAGGCTGCTTTGGAGAGTAAATTGTCTTGTGTGTCGCTGGGAAAGGCTGAGTGCTGTGGAAGCCCTCTAGGTTAATGTCTCCATTGTCGAAATACTTACATGTATCCGGCTGTGTCCCTAAAAGGCTGGTGTGGGGAGGGGGATGATTTTTAAATATGAAATAAGATTGGTTTAGTTGAACCCTCACAGGTTAACTTTGTGCAGGGGATGCAACCCTGTAGCCTTCATCTGGAGAGTCAGCCCTATTATAGTCACTTGCTAGAAAACTGGGCTGTAAGCTAAGCAGAAAAGCCACTTCTACTTTCCCCCAGGGCCACCCAGCTCTTCACAAAGAGTGGGGAGATAAATCACCAAGGAGCCCCAAGTGGGGGGGGGGGCTTAGTTTGGGCATAGGAGGTCAGATTTAGAGGCAGCGGTAGGCTCTCCTAGGCCCTCACGGAAGAGCACCCAAAGAGGGGAGAATCTGGCTGCCAGACTTTGCTCAGGAGTGGGGGTGGGGGAACAGTTTACTCCTGATCTGTTTAGAATGGGCCTGGCAGGCTTAGACGTGGTGATGGGGAAGAGAAGAGTGCTGTTGTATTAGCAAGAGGGGGATATACTGAAATTGTCCTTCTCTAACCTAGTAGGCAAAAGTCACCCTTCCAGCTCTCACTTCTTTCAGACAATCAGTCCCTTTTAATGATGAGACGACAGTAATTGATCTCCTCTGGGCAAGGAAAATAGCAGGCAGCTCCGGGGCCTACAAGGATTGCTCTCTCTCTCTCATTTCCAAGTCCAGAGGCTAAAGTTTTGTGCAGTCAGAGTCCCAACATTGCTAACCTGGTTGGGCTCCTTATTCTAAAGTGGTTAATCTGTTGCATTTGTTGCATGGAGTCAAAATGCCACTCAGCTCCATTTTTATTTTTGCCTGATTTTTTTTTTAAAGTCCAAAAATTCTTTCGAGTCTCTTGCCTCTTGTGGAATCTTCAGTCTGTAACCATTGGGTCTTGAGTATAAAGCATAAAAAATAGAGATTAACCCTGAAGATGGTTTGTTTCAAATTGGTATATTGTATTAATCCAATCACAGCGGTGGGTGGAAAGCCTGACCTTAGTCAGATGTGGATTCTTCATGAGATTTATACTAAACTTTGTGCAGCAAATCCTTATAGGAAACCTAAGGATTTGCTGTGTTGTGTCCTGACTTTTCTTTGATTGCATCAAGAGGGATTTGGGGACAATTCCATGCCCCACGCAGGAGAAGATAAAAGGGGCTTCCCAAAGAGTGGGGGGTTCCCTCCATGCTCATTCATTCCACAGAACAGCTGATGTCCCTATTCCCATTAGCCCTACCGTGTGGGCAGAGATTGCAGACACTCGTGGCCAAAATCTGGAAAGGGCAGGTGGGTAGAAGTCTGAAAAGGGTCTCCTACTGGGTGTATCTCCAGGCGTTGGCGGCACCGAAATCTATGGCTTAGGGGCAACAATCACGCGCAGAGGCGGCTGCCTCGCTCTTAATCCTCGCTCCTTCTTGCTCCATCACTCCCCTCTACTCTCGCTCTTGTTGCAGGCAAGGAGCCGGCGGAGGAGGAGGCCTCGGAGCGTCCCAAGGCGCGCAGCCGGAGGAAGCCGAGGGTGCTCTTCTCGCAGGCGCAGGTATTCGAGCTGGAGAGACGCTTCCAGCAACAGCGCTACCTTTCCGCTCCCGAGCGGGAGCTCTTGGCCAACAGCCTCAAGCTCACCTCCACTCAGGTCAAGATCTGGTTCCAGAACCGGCGCTACAAATGCAAGCGGCAGCGGCAGGACAAGGCCCTGGAACTGGGCGGCCCAGCGGCAGGAGCGGCCCAGCAGCCTCCAGCGCCTCCGCCGCCGCCTCCGCCGCGCAGAGTGGCCGTACCGGTACTGGTGAGGGACGGCAAGCCATGCCTGGGGGGCTCGCAGGCCTACAGCGCGGCCTACAACGCCCCCGCCGCCTCCTACGCCTACAACGGCTTCCCTAATTACGCCTACAGCGGTTCCAGCGGTGCAGCCTACGGCGCCGGCTACAGCTGCAGCTACCCCTCGGGCAACAGCCTGGGCCCCGCGGTGCAGCCCTCGCCGGGGCCCTATGTAAGCATGGGCGGCTTCCCCGGCGGAGCTCAGCCCTTGCACCAGGGGGGGGCCGGCTCCTCCTGCACTCAGGGCATCAGGGCCTGGTAGGCGGCGCTGCTCCTCGAACACCGCCGACCGGAGGGTCGCTGCTCCTCCGCAGACACTCGGGGGCCGCGCTGGGACCCTTTGGGGAGAAAGTGAGCGACGGCCGAAGAAGCGACCTCCGGGCGTAGCTTGATCTGCGGCTGGGCTCCAGCACTTCGTCCGCTCTCGGAGCTAACCTGGATCGCCGCGATCGACAAGAACAGATTCTCCATTTGGACTCCCCTTAGGGAGAGCCTCCCCCCCCCACCGGCCTCCACACAACGGCCCCGAAGCTTTTGGAGCGGGCAGGATCAGGGGCAACCCGGGAGTCTCCAGGCTCTGCGCCTGAACTGCAGTGGGGCAAGAGAGGCCAGGCGCTGCCCAAAGCAGCTTCGCTTATACAAAGCCAAGGCCGCCTCCCTCGCCTCCCCTCCCGCTATCAGTGTATTAAATGTATCTATGTAGCCACACTGCCAGGTGTTTTAAGGATCCAATAATAAATCAGGTGCAATATCGAGATCTGCCTTTGCTGTGGCGCCGAAGGATGGAGGAGGCGCAAATGCGGGGCCGGCCTGGCCCGCTTCCACCCCAGACAGAGCGAATAAGTCGGTGCCAGCCTTGACTTTGCGCAGGCTTAGCCTCCCACCTCCTGACTATCCTGTAATTCGGAAGCCCTAATGCCAAGCCCAGGGCACCTCACTGTCCGGATCCGGGGATGATATGAGAAAGCGGGTATAGGCAGATGCTTAGACAGCGCGGGTCTCCCACCCCAATGTATTTGACCCCTACGATGTCTTGAGTCACTCTTGGTGGGAATTGTAGTTCCACAACACTTTAACGATGCGCCCTGATGGCGAATCAACCAGTGGCGGGTGAAAACTCACTGGTGCCCTAAGCCCTGACAAATCTTGGTGTGCCTCCCTCCTCTGTACATACTGTACAAATCTTCATTGGTTTTTTTTTTTCTCAATTTCGTGGTGCCCCTTTGGGCCTGAGTGCCCTAAACACATGTTTAGTCTGCTTCATGGTTAATACACCGTTGTCTCTCCCCCACTCCATCCTTTCCGCTTTGCTAGGGCAGATGTCCTGCTTCGAGCCACATAAATGAGAGGCAGGTTCACGGAGAGTAGCACTTTCCTGGGGGTGAATTCACCTGCATGACCACCACCATCCCAATTCTCCCTTTTCGTGTTAGCTAATCTTAAACCAGAGTAATCTTGCATTAATACCGCGAAAGGCGACTGAAAGGGGAGGAACTCGCATTCAAGCGGCGCCGCAGAAGCCCGCCGGCTTTGGCGAGCAGTGGTCGAGTCCAATCCGAAGCTTCTGAACCAACGCCCGCAGCAACACCTTCGTTTAACGGTACCAAATGGGGATGTGCTTTGTCGTTGCTGCTGCTGATGGGGTGGATGCCGGCTCTCCGGAGTCAGAAGTTTCATCTTCCGGCCCTTTGGGCAGCGGTCCACTGTCATTCCCTTGTCCCGGGCAAGACGCCGGCGAGCTGCTCAGAGAAGTCCATTGTGGCTAAAGGGCCGGGAGAGGAAGAGCCGGGAAGGGGCTGAGAAGCGGCATTTAGAGAATTGGGAAGCGGGACAAAGGCACGAGATTGACGGCCTGCTCTGTCCCCACGCTGGGCTCGGACGCGCAAACGATGGACAGTTTTGTCCCGATCTCCCTTTTAAGCCTACAGGCCGAGAGCAGATAGGGCGAAGGGACACCGTTCAATTCCCAATTTCGCTTAGATTAAGATTTGAAACGGAAAAGGTACTGAAGGGGAAAGAGATGCGGAGGCCATGGAAGCAAACACACGTTACCTATCTATTCTGCTCCTCTCTCCAATCCTCTGATTTGCCTCCTACATTTTCAGAAGGATGGAAAGGGGTTGTGCAGGTACTATAACAATACAGACTCTCTAATGTGCATTTTAAGGTTGAGTTTCAGCTCTACAAATAATCAGGAAGGAGCTCTCACCTTTCCCACCTGGCCTTAAGGTCTCCATGTAGCATTGCTCCAATCCTGCCATTGGGAGACACAAATCAAATGACCAGGGGCAAGAATGGTCCAGCTGATTCAGAAGAAGATGGGGAGGCAGCCATTAGCTTGGATCTGATGATCAAGTTTTCTTTCAGCTCTACCAGAAAGTCTTGAATGCCTACCTGTAACTCAATATAGATAAGCCAGGTGTAATGGTTAAGACATTAGGCTACAAACCTGGCCTTTGCTCCTGATTTAGACATGAAGCAGCTGGCCAACCACTTTCCCTAAGCTCTAGGAAGGAGGCAATGGCAAACCACTTCTGAAAATCCTTACCAAGAAAACTGCAGGGACTTGTCCTGGCAGTCTCCAAGAATCGGACACGATGGAACAGAAAAGAAAAATATGTAAAGGCATTGTTACCGCTTTTTAAATTGGGAGCTAAATTACATTTGAATGAATTATGGAAGATACATATGTATTGTATTACATAGATAAGATACATATGTAATACAATACATATACATAGGATACATATATAATACAATACATATACATAAGATGCATATGTATCAGTGATGGGATTAATTTTTTTTTTACTACTGGTTATGTGGGTGTGGCTTGGTGGGCATGGCAGGGGAAGGCTACTGTAAAATCTCCATTCCCTCCTGATCAGCTGGGACTTAGGAGGCATAGAATAGATGGGGGCAGGGCCAGGCTGAGGTGGTATTTACTGGTTTTCCAAACTACTCAAAATTTCTGCTACTGGTTCTCCAGAACTGGTCAGAACCTGCTGAATACCACCTCTGATATGTATTATGCAGTGCAAGATACATTGTATTATGTCCATTCCAAGTGATATTTTTCAGTAAAGGTGCTGGGGTAACCAACTTCTGAAGTATAAAGGTAAAGGTAAAGGTTCCCCTCGCACATATGTGCTAGTCGTTCCCGACTCTAGAGGGTGGTGCTCATCTCCATTTCAAAGCTGAAGAGGCAGTGCTGTCCAAAGACGTCTCTGTGGTCATGTGGCCGGCATGACTAAATACTGAAGGTGCACGGAACACTGTTACCTTCCCAACAAAGGTGGTTCCTATTTTTTCTACTTGCATTTTTACACGCTTTAGAACTGCTAGGTTGAGGAAGCTGGGACAAGCAACGGGAGCTCCCTCTGTTACATGGCACTAGGAATTCAAACTGCCGAACAGCCGACCTTTCTGATCGAAAAGCTCAGTGTCTTAGCCACTGAGCTTTTTATCTATTCTTAAATTTTGCTCCCACTCTTAAAAAAAAAAAAAAAAAAAAACCGCTGCAGTAAATACACACAACTACAATGATCAAGCAATGCAATTTAAAAGATATAAGAATAGTTGTCTATCACCTGACCTGTCATTCATTGAATATTTAATAATCTCATTAGTAGAGGGAAAATTGAATTACAAATTAAATTGCATTCCACTACCAAATGGATCTGAAAGGCTTCACAAATTTTAAACATTTATATTAAAATGTTAAGGCAGCCTAGTTCCCTCCAGATGAATTGAATCTGCAATCCCTTTGGCGAAGAAGGCCTGAAGGGAACCCCTGGGATGCCAGTAATTGTAGTTACAAATCCTTGAGATTCTTGGATGTTCAGGGAAAAGAGAAAGATACTTTACTAATGAGCAGCTATGACTAGATGGCACACAAGCAACCAACCTTTATGGCACCAGATTTCAATGAATTAGTTTGTGTAGAAATGTTCTCTCAGTCCTCATTGATCTGTTATTGATTGATTGGTCTGTCATAATTAGAACATAGGATCAGATCAAAAGCCCATTTGGTCCAGTTTGCACTTCTTTTCCCAATTCTCATAACCATAGTATCCTGCCACTCAAAGCACATCGTAGCACCCTGCCATTCAGGTTCTGAAAGGGTTGCTTTTCAGAGCATACCAACTCTTTTTGCAGCAATGTTTTCAAGCTATATCCAGTTTCTTCTGAAAGAGATTGTAAAGCAAATATCTGGGGTAGAATTCTAGACATTGGAAGACCATGAGTTGTAATCTTGTTTTAGGCACAGTGAACTGGCTGACACGGACCAGTAACTTTCTCTCAGCCCTAGGAAGAAGGCAATGTCAAACCAATTCTGAAGACTTGCAAAGAATAATTCAGGAACCCATCCAGGCAGTCATAAAAGTCAAAACTAACCTTTTTTTTAAGTCACAACAAACTCAAAGAGATGCACATACACACAATTGGTATTGGGATCTGTGTTCTTCAGAGTGGAGGTTCAAGATCAAGTTCAGATCAAAATTCAGTTCAAAACTATAACGTCATGAAACTCCCAGTCTCTCTCTCTCTTTTGGTCATCTCTTGCAGCTGAGCAAGAGAAGAGAAAGAAGTAACACTACCGCTGGCAGTTTTGCCTCCCCATTTCCACTCTCTCCTTAATCTGACTTGACATTTTACCATTGATCTTTAACATATCTGGAAAAGGAGGGGAGAGAAGAGAAGGAAGATAATTGACATGGCAGATCCATTTTGTAAAAGATAGGGCGAAGGAGTAGCAAAGTTGTAGCTAAAATGCGAAGTCCAGGGAAATGCTAATCCACTGGACCACAACAAAACACACGCCCTCCAGGAAAGGAGAAAAATGCCATAGTTGGATTGCCTGTTTCATGAGCAGGAAGAAAAGCTTTAATCACAGGTCAGAGATGGCTTAGTCTTAGAGGCTGCCTTACGTGGATGGGGCTAAGAAAATGCATACCTATCACAAACTCACCTGTGTGAAAGGCTCACTGAGGGCAGGATTTATCCATAAAGACTAGGTAGTCCTTGATTTACAACAGTTCATTTAGTGTCCAAAGTTACATTGGCACCAAAAAAAGTGACCTATCACCATTTTCCCCACTTACAACATATTGCAGCATCCCCTGGGTCACATGATTCAAAATTCCAAAGGTTGGCAACTGGGTCATATTTATGATGGCTGCTGTGTCCTAAGGTCATGTGATCAGCTTTTGCGACCTTCTGACAAGCAAAGTCAATGGGGAAGCCAGATTCACTTTGCAACGATGTTACTAACTTAAATGCAATGCTTCACTTAACAACTGTGTCAAGAAAAGACGTAAAATGGGACAAACTCACTGAACAAATGTTTCATTTAGCAACATAAATTTTGGGCTCCCTTGTGGTCGTAACTTGAGGATTACCTGTACTAGCAGGAGAGCCTTGCCCACGACACTGTCCAATTCTTATTTACAGTAAAATCTTCATAATTGGGTAGCCATCATTATACCTTCTGGCAATGAATCTTACAGCTTGACTAGGAACTGTAGAACAGAGATTATATTAGCTGTGCTGAATTTCCCTTCATCCAGCTTCATTAGATGGTCCCAGTTCCTATCATTATGGCATTATGGCATGCAGGGCTGGGGCCTGCTTCTCACTTCCCTCCTGGAAAAAAAAAGATTGATTGATTTATCTATTTTTCATTATCTAAGAGAAGATAATAATCTCTTCAAGACTTCCATCTCTTAGAAGTATTACCCTTCTTGATGGAGAAACACAGATGTATGTAAAAATATGTAAATAAATACATGGGAAGCTGGTGGTGGGGGGACAACCATGATGAGCTAAGGGGAAGCTCTGTAATAGCCCTCCGAGAACTTTGATTGGCAATCAGCAAGTACATGGAATAGCCTTAATGCAAGCAATGCAACATTTTGTAGAAGATCCCCTTTGTGGAACCAGAGAACAATCACCTTCTCCCACCATCCATGAATAATATGGTATTGGTAGCGAGAATTTGTGATCTCGTGTCCCACGTTCTAAGGAAAGGCTAGATAGAATAACTTTACTGCCACTAGGCTCCAGTGCTCATGTCGGCTTCCTTTCAATCCAGCTCAGTGGTTTCCTTAGCAACTCATAGATAGATGTTAGATAATGGAGCAGCAGCAGCAGCAGCAATTCAGATTTTTCTTGGCGTGAAAATCCATAGCCCTGCGCCTTGAAAGGGCGGCTCTTTCGTGATTCCATCAACCCAGACAGTGGCGATACAAGTATTGTATTCTCCAGGCAGAGCACAAAGAAGTAAGATGGGAACGGCTCCTTTGGCACTATCCCCACCTATTGGCTGGTGTAATAACTGCATTTTAAACGGTTTCGTTGCTAGAGTAGATTTACTTTCAGCCGTACAGAAGTTCTTCCTATTTTTTTTATTCGAAGAAATTATGGGTTATAGGGAATTAAGCATTATAGCCAAAAATAATGATGTCTGGCTTTAATCAAGAACAATTAACAATTAAATGAGAACAATTAACCAGTGGAACAGCTTGCCTTCAGAAATTGTGGGTGCTTCCTCACTGGAGATTTTAAAGAAGAGACTGGACAACTACTTGTCTCAAATCCTACAGGGTCTCCTTCTTGAGCAGGGGGTTGGTCTAGAAGACCTGCAAGGTCCCATCCAGCTCTATTCTGATTGATTGATTGTGTTCTCTCCTTAAGCAGAGGAGACTGTTATTTCATTTGTCATGTAGCACACAACTAACATTGCCCCTTTCTGCCCCACCACAGAAGAGTGGTTCTACATTTAGGATGTATTTCAATAAAATTAATCAACCAACCAAATTAGCAATAATGGAAATATAGTATCCAGCAGATAACATTTTGTATTTTGTGCTCTTTAAGCCTACCACTATAATTATTACAGCAGGAATAATTCTCCTGATGCTAAATATATCACATAATTCCAATAGAAGAGGATAGATGTAGTTCAGGGCTGAACTGAACTGTGGAACATTGGTGCTCTTAGAGCTTGGTTGTTTGCTTCCTAATGTTTAACTAACTAGGCAACATCATCAGTGTCATGATGATGTTATCTAGCCAAATAATGAAACTTCTGCAATTGAGTAACCAAGCTCAGAGAGCCCTAATGACTCCACATATCAATGGTGGAGAAGGATATTCCTTTCAAGAGTAAATAGAATGAAGATCAGTGACAATTGATACCCAATTGGCTTCTATCTGATTAAATCTTCAAATATATAATATATAAAAAAATATTACGATCACCAATTTCAGTCCTGATGACCTATCAACATGCATCTGGGAAGGCCTTCATGTTCCCTTATCAGCTAGCTGTTGATACCAAAACTGTCTACTGCTCTTTCCATAATCCTTTATTCTCAGAATATTCATACATTATAACGTATTCACACTTAAGTTCCAAAGCCCAGCCTTACTCTATTGCTGCATGAATATTCCAATACCTGAAATCAGAGAAGTGGAAAAGAGAGGTGGGAAATGATCCTTACCTTGGGCTCACATTTGGAAAGACTAGGCAGATAAGAACGTGTAGCTGTGGAAATATGTAAAGATATTTATTCTCATTGTTTCACAACCACAACAGAAAGTGGCTCAACTTATGAGCAGCCAAACAAAAAGTTCTTGAGTGCATCTGGCGGCTGCACACATGGTATCATCCTTTAACTTTTAAAGATTCATATCTTTATTTAGAGAGATCTCTGATAAGAAAGGAATTATTTTACCCAAGCTTTATGACAGGGAGAGGGAACTCCTATCCCCATCCCTATTAATTTGTTAGATGATATTAGCAGGGAGTGTGGATAAAGTCAACTGTAGATGAGATAAATCATTTCCATTTTCACTCGTCCTCCTAATCTTTTCTAATCTGATCCAGTGTCATCCAGATGTGCTGTGATTGCAATTTCCAGATCTCTCAAATAGCTATAGAATCATCTTAAGATATGCAGGGACACAGGAAACACCATAAAATTAATTCCTATGAGGGAGGGTAATACCAAAGTAAAGCAGAAGCTGAGAACAAATGCAAAATGCATTTTCCTAACAATATATTGCTACAGTAAGAGTGTATATATCATTGCATGTGTTCCCAAGTGGTGACATTTCCTAGGACAAAACTCTCTAGCAAAGGCTAAAAGATAAGTCCATAGATCAATTAAGATGCAGCAAGGCAGTTATGCATGAACAAAAGGACATTTCAAGGGGAAAATATTTTCTTCCTACTTTGGTTCAAATTATGACTCAGGAATGTCCCTTCCTTTACAGCTATTGATACATTGCTAAGAATGCAAAGCTGGAATATACTCATCTGAAGCAGATAGAGAGCAATACTATACAAAGATTTATATTGCATTTTAACAGAACTATTAACATCATACTAAAAAACACTGCCTTAACTGCATTGCTACATTTATTGCCTCTGTATAGTCTCTATATATGGTAAAAGTCAGCTTCTAAGCCTTGAGATGAAGGAAAGCTAATCACAATTTCTAATAATGACAAATGCATTTATCACCATCAAGAGTTCTGTAACTTTGAAGTTTGTTCTTACTATGGCACTCCATGTTAAACGTTAACTATTACAGAATTACTATCCCCTCTATTAAATTCCTATTTCATTGGTGGAGACAGAAAAAGGCCTTATTGTTACAAATACAAGCTAATGCAGAGCAGCATATTTTACAAGTGTTAATGGAGAAACATGTTCTACAAGAGCACTTGTCCCTGTTCTTCAATTGCAGCTTGGTTCCCCTCTGTTCTTCCATATCAGAACTTGTGTATATGCATGTGAACAAATTATTCCATTGCTATATGTATTATATAACTTTTTCACAGTGTAATTTTAATACAACGCCTAACAAATCAGTTGAAGATCACAAGTTAAAGCAGAGTGTGTCTCTTTTCACTATTCTCATACATACTGAGATTAAGTGGAAGGGCAATAGTGCTGAATAGACTGTGCTAAGTGTTGAAAAGTCACAAATGCTTTATGAGTAGCATCCAACAGAGAACAGACTTTTCTTGGATCTTCAATGTACATCATACTACATTCAGCACTATGAAAGGGAATCTTACTTATCTTCCACCTCTTCAGATCAGAAGACAAAACAATTCCTGTCATACAAGTGCAATGAATCTACCTTATCTATAAGAAGGAAAGGTTTGCTGGGACTAATTAATGTTGGAATCTGACACCATCAGGAAAGCTGCAAGTTCCCCACCCTTTTTCATAAAGAAATGCTCAGAAACGTCTGGTAAGAAAGAGACAAGGCCTAGGACAATAAAGCAGACTTTATTGGAAGTGCCAAGGGCCACAACAATCAAAGCCTTCTCAAAGAGCATGAGGTCTGTGTGAGTGCTGATAGACAACAGCTTAGCTAACACTTCTTCTGCCTCTACTAATTCTTACCTGCAATCATTTCTCAGAATGCAGGCTATCACCCCAATTTCCAATATGCTCACAGTAATTCCACCCTGGTCTTTATCTGTATCCAACACCTGGGGCATGTTTGTTAGATGATAAGCTAAAAGCAGGTGAAGTTGCTGTTTGCTGTATACGTTCCATTGAGAGAACAATGGGCTGTGCAAAATGCAGCAGCAGGCAAGAGGCGGCATCAGTATTCCAAAGTCTTGCTTGTCATCTGTGTTTGGCACCAGCCAAGCCGATAACGCCATTTCACTTCCCGGACAACCGTTCCTCCTTTCGCTTTGTTAAGATGTATTTGAAGAACTCATACACAGACCATGCAATAGCTGTGGAGGGCATCTGGTAGATGACACGAGCCTGAACCCCACGGAAATACGCAGTTAGCCCGCCCACGCGGTACACCGTCCTGAATGCGTGAGCCATACCTGTGATGTGCCCACTGATGTTGGTATTCAGTGCCAAGGCTTCCTGTGTATTCAGCAATGTTTTGCAAACGTCCAAAGGTGTGGTGGCAGCAGCTGCAATGGCACCTGCACAGGCACCTGCCACCATATGAGAACTAGGATTGTACTGTCTGTGGGGGTTGAGGTGCTCCTGTAGGGATTCATATGCCATGAAATGGATAGCCTGAAAGGGGATGTTCATGGTCAGCTGAGTGGTATAGCTTCGGTAGAAAGCTCCTGCCCCTTCATTGCACCACACAGCACGCACACAGTCTGTTACTCGTTGGTAGGGAGAATTGTACATCTGCATTCTTTGTTTTACCACTGGAAATGGATGATAACCACAATCCGACCATATTGAAAGGTGGGAAAGAAAGAAAGAAACTCTAATGAATAAAGCAGCATAAACAGTATGCATTCAGTGCATGCATGCGCACACGCACACACATGCAGGCTCTCATGCTTCAGTATTCAATACAGTCCTCACATAAGCCTCAGTATTGGAATATACTATCGATCTATCAAGCCTTACACAATTGCATTAAATCAGCAGACCCAGATGCCCTCTTTCTAGATTGTGGAAAATATTTAGGGCCATTAGAATTGAGTTTCGGTTTTCTTACAGAAAGAACGGAACATGAAGCCATGTTACAATATAATTTTCATTCACTTTTTCATGTTTATAATAGGGCAAGATCATAGGGTTGAGGCAAGCTTTTCCAAAAGCAGCCCTTGCTCCATGGAACATCTTCCCATCAGAATGGCCCCAACCCTGCTAGCCTTTTATAAGTTCCTAAAAACCTGGCTATGCCCCGAGCCTGGAGTTCTGAATGTGCCAGGGGTCATGTTAAATGGCCAATACCTTATTCTTGTATATCTTGAACTGGATTTTTAATGGGGGCTTTTTCCTTCTTTTACTATTTTTATTTTTAAAATTGTAAACTGCAGAGTCATTGACGAAGATGAGTGGACACAGAAATTGAACAAACATATTTTTTCAGTCAATTCAATCCATCATTCAAATAAAATTTATGGAAATAATTGTTCTGTCCCCCTTTCTTCTCACAAACAAGGCAATTTTTCCTGGTGATATCTTCATGAAAGATGGAGCATACAGGAAAAACAGTATTACCTTCCGCTGGATTCATGGCTGCATCATGAAGCAACGTTGCCACGCAGCCTGCGGCACCTGCAAGACAAGGACTGTTAAAGATGAAGAAAAGTTGAGATGAGACCCATGAGGTCTTAATGACATCCCAGATTAGGCCATCACAATATTATACATGTGAAAACAGGGACATAAGCCATTCCTTCCAAGGGACAAGCAGCTTATGCAGAAGCCTTAATTTTAAACAGCAGAAATAATCAAGATTCTAATACAATATTTCTCCAAATTAACTCCATTTACAACTAGAAAAAAGAGGAAACAGAATATCTTCTAAGTATTTTAGTTAAGATCTTTGTAATTAATATGAAATAAACAAAAGCTAAGATTATTCTACTATTAGTAAGCTGTGCAGCATTTCAGTTTTGATCTTCTACAAGTGTTTCAGAAAGAGTAAAAGCAGGGGCAGGAAGGAATAGGACTCAGGAGAAGGTACAGCTACTTTACAATGTTGCAGGCAAATGCTAATTTCATACTCTTCCCTCTGCAGCATCTTTTGGATCCTGAAGTGTTGCATAAACTTACTATTTACATCCTTATAAACAGTCTTTGACTTCTGACCATTCATTTAGTGACTGTTCAAAAGTTACGATAGTGCTGAAAAAGTCTGCCCTTGCACATACAACCATTGTACCACTCTCATGTTCACAAAATTGCAATTCAGGCATTTGGCAACCAGCTTTTATAACCTATGTCCCATAGTCACATGATAGCTACTGTATTTGTAACCATTTTTGCCAATTTGCAGCAAAAATGCCTATTAAAAAGAATGAGTTCACACTTATGACCATGAGGTTTGCTTAATGACTACAGATGTACTAACAACCATGGTGATTCACCGACCATTATAACAATGATCATAAAATTGGGTCTGAATTGACTTATGACTGCAACATTCTGGTCCCAATTGTGATCATAAACCGAGGGCTATCTATACTATCTTTCTCCTAAAATGTCAACAAGATGCAGGGGATGATGAGTTTTGTCTTAGATTTTAGGAGATAAAATACCACAATCTGATGATCAGAGATTAAGTAGAAGCATTAGAAATAAGATATTCTTAGGAAGCAGATTGGACTAAATGAATGGAAGAGCACCTGTTACAGCAAGCCTGGAATTCTCTCCATTCAATTAAGTTGCTAAAAGAAAGAGGCATTGAGGCAAATACAAGCATATGTATGTTAAGCATATCAGTATGCATGTTTTAAAAAATAGAAATATATGCAAACAATCATAGTCACTCTTCTATCATATCACTTTCTCACATAAGACACAAAAATACATGCCAGAAAACTCATTTGCTCATTTTTATCCCTAAATACCACATATTGCTCATACTGCTAACATACTGTTTTGCTGCAAGCAGAATACAGCATCATGAAAGAATGTCCATAACCTTGAGGGTTCAGAGAGTACTAATGCCAGAATAATAATAAATCTGGCATCCTCTCACTCTGAGCCCCAACTGGTACAACTAGAACCCCAGGATGGGGTTAGGAGGCAGGAAGGGATAATACCGTTGGCCACGTGACTATTGCCCCCAGCATGGATAAGGTTGGTAAGTGTCTTTTTCAATTTTTCGTAGCAGGCGAAATACAAGGCATGGGCAGGACCAGCCCCCGTAGCTGTGATGTTCAATCCACGCATAGGTCTCCAGATCCCTTCAGTTCGGACAATCCGCCACAAAGCCTCCAGCACATTCCGGTAACGAGCAGCAGGTTCTGGTTGCAGGCTTTGCATCCTTGTCTGCCAGTTCGGGGATGGGGGGAGGGGGGAGCAGGTTAGATATGTTTAGAGATTTACTCAAATAAGTTCTCCCAGCCAAACTCTGTCCACCCACTTCCCGTTTACAAACCTTCAGCATTTGAGTCTCTGCTTTAATTCTGCTGTATGCGCTCTCTCCCTACTTACATGAGATTTTTTGCAGACAATATGATTCCGTGAAAGGTGTCTGGAAGTATAATAAACTTCCAAACAATCCCTGCCCTCCCCAAGATCTCCTATGCAATGGCTGAGTCCAATCCGTTTTGCAGGCAAAAAGGGAGTTCCATCTGAGATGGAAGAAACAGATCCTACTTCTCAGTCGTTGGTGGCAATGCTTCTTAACTGTCATCTCAAGTTCGGGACTCGGAAGACTGCCCATTGCCACTTCAGCCGCCAACCGCAAAAGACACAATTACTTGTTGCTCCCTCTTCTTCTTGGCCTAATTCATAGCAACCACCCCGAGACGCGCATCCCTTTGACCTTCTGCCACATCTCCTTGCCGCTTATTGGAGCAATTCGGAGGGAGCCGAAGGATTTCCCCCCACAACCGGTCAATGTCCGACCTCACAGAGCACACCCGAGGGGCCCTGCGCGATCCTGCTCCAGCCCTCCTCGAAGACATCATCTGTCCCTGCTCCCTGCCCGTCCCGCCGCCCCTCGGAGGCACCAACGCGGCTCGCCGCCTCTCCTCACCTTGACACAGTCCACCGGGTACATAACGCTGTGCTCCAGCACCCCAGCCACAGCCCCTGCGAGCATGTGGGTGGAAGCGGCGGAGCCGCGGGGCAGGGCCTCGTAGTCCGGCTCCCGGCCGGTTTCCGTGTCCGTTCCTGTCCCCCCCTCCCCACCGCCGCCCGAGGGCCACGGCCACACCCAACCCGACCCTCCCCCGCCATCCCCGCCCAACAGCAAGAGGAGCAGGCGGCCCGGCGCCGCCGCGCCCCGCTGACCGGGCCCCGCCGCGCCGCCTGCCCCCAGCTCCATGGCGCCTCCGTCGAGTCGGTTACGGGATACCCCACTCGTTCCTGCGGCTCCCGCTCAGTCCATCCCGCCTACTGGCACTGCGGATTGGTCGCGGTCCGTGTTCGCGCCGCCCTAGGCCGACGTGAATTGGTCGGTTGGCAAAGGCCGGCCTTGAGCCTCGCCTATCAAAAAAAGGTATTTGGCGATGCCCCTTTGACCTTTTGTTCTCTCCTCACTCCATTGGGCATCTTTCCCTCGAACGCGCTTGTACGTCGGAAAAGGGAACGGTCATTGGCTACGCCGCCTGTCAGGCTGGAAGTCAGCCTGGTAAGAAGGGATGGCCGCTTTCTATGGCGCGTGTGGTTTGTTTGGAGAAGCTGGTTGGTTTGACTTTAAAGATGACGCTGCCGAGGGTAGCGTGTGTATCTGTGGCTCGCCAGGGAGGGCAGCCGAGCGCGGGCTCGTCGGGGATTCGCCAGCTTCTCAAATTTCGGCTGACAGCGAAGCCGATGGAGCTGAACTTTCGAAAGAGTCTCCTTTAGGCCCCCGAATTGGGCAACCTTCTCGTGACGTCAGCCCATGAAACTGGAACGCTCGCCCTCAGCCGAGAGCGGCCCCTCATTGGTTAGTGACGTTCCCGAGACGACGGTTGCTTAACGACGCTTCGGGATTGCGCCTCTGGAACGGAAAAGTCCCTCTGAATGTGCGAGCTGATTGGGTAACAAGGGCAGAAGGCGGGGCCGTGACTGCCGAACCGCTCAAAGCGGCTGCCTTGGGCCCGCTACGTCAACTCCAGCCTCGTCCCCATTGGCCGTCTCTGCCGAGCTCCCTCGTCCTGAGGACGTGGCTGGAAAGAGAGACCCGGCAGGATCTGAACGGAGGGAAGAGCGGCAGCGGTAAGTTCCTCCGTTGGGTGCCGGCGAAGAGGGATCCTTCCCGGAATCCTCCGACTCGGAGGGGCGAAGTCGCCCGGGTACTTCGGGGGAAGAGAGAGGAATCGTAGGGGACTCAGTGAGCTCACAGGATCCTCCTCCTGGCTTTCTCCTCTATCAGCTCCGGGATCCTGTGGCGGAAAGGCAAGAGAGATGCGACTACCTCCTGGAGACCGTAGAGGACACTGACAGAAGCTGGACAGCGGGGGTGACCATATGGCCAGGTGAGGTGATGGCCGGTGAGCCTCTTCACATGGCTTCCTTACGGCCGTCCCTTCCTTCCTTCCCGAAGCAAGGTCTGCATCCTCCCCAGGATGGGGCATGAGAATGGTTGATTGAGCCCGTTTAAGGAAAGAAAAAAAACAAACCGGTGGTATCCCGTAAATTAGAGGAGGAAATAATCTTATATCCGAAGTTTCAGGGGAAAATATGCTTCTTTTCCCATCGCCTGGGTCTTATAAACTGGCCCAGCACTGTCTGGTTGGCATCTAGGATGGTTCAAAGATCACATTCCCTGCCTGCCAGTCGGAGAAGGTGACTGTATGATTCCTGTGTGTGTGGAAAGTGGGAGACAAACTTCCTCCTTTGCTGTTCAATTCCGAAATGCAAATCTGGCCCAGAGGTAGCTGGAGAATTCCCGGAGAAAAGGGAAGACATATGGTACAATGCAGCATTACCTAGCTATATCAAAATAAAATTATTATCTGTCTGCTGGTGGGAATTGTGAAAGCTGCCATCCAGTCCAGAAAAATGGGCAGAGGAAGGGAGGCAGATGTAAATCACTTGTTACAGTTGAATGCATAGAGGTAAGTCTCACTACAATGGAAGAGGAGGAATTGCAGTGGGTTGCGGTATAAGCAAAAGCTTTGAAGTCTTCTTCATTTATTCAAAGGATTTACAGTACTGTGCAAAAGTTGTAGGCAGGTGTGAAAAAATGCTGTAAACAAAGAATGCTTTCAGAAACATAAATAATAATTGTTTATTTTTGTCAATTTTCAAAATGCAAAGTGAGCGAACAAAAGAAAAATCTAAAATCAATATTTGGTGTGACCACCCTTTGCTTTCAAAACATCAGCAATTCTGCTAGGTACACTTGCACACAGTTTTTTAAGGAACTCGGCT